AACAGATTTCCTTCTAATAGAGGCCCCTTTTAGATGGTGAATTTTGAGAAAGGCCATTAGCATCTCTGTAGCAATGTTTCTCTTCTAGTTTTGTATCAGCAGCTTGTGTTTCTGCCATTATTTGTTTGTCTCAGCCACAACCTCTTGATCTCTGAAGGCTATTTTCATATGGTTAGTATGCCCTTCCCACCTCATTTATTTCTATCCTTTCTGTTTATCCTGGTACTTGTGCTTTTTATCAACACCATCTGCAAAGTCCTCATATTTGTTACTGGTTCCTACAAATTAGAAATTTTTGTGTCTGTACATTCCTGTGCAAAGGGGATGTGGAGTCATTTTCAGTAACAAAGGAAATATGTTTACATTTGATGTAAACTACCCAAAATGAAAGGATGAAGCAAACAAGCAAGAAGTCTTTGCCATAATACATATGACAAATAATGTAAATTCAGGAGATTTTTTTTCAAATTATATCTAAGAGCATTTGCTCCAGTCTTCATAAAGGAAGGGAAACTGCCTAAGGAACATTATTTGGGAAAGTAACAGGAAGGACAGGTTTTTATGGAAGAGAACTGCCTGCAAGTTGATAAAGCCTTTCAACCTCTTTTTGCAGTGCTTAGAAACCTTAACCCAAATATATAAAAAGGTTTTTAGCCAACCTTAACCTAATGTAGCTCTTGAACTGTTGTCTCAAAGATTCAGGGCACAGACTTCTGTATCCAAATTGTTCTAAGTGCTTAGAAAAAAAATACCTGAAACTTTGGAAAGCAGCAAAAGCAGCGCATGGCTGTGACCTAAAAATCCAAGTGCATTCACCTTTGTCTACCATCCAAAGCTTGTCCACGTAATTGAATTTGTGGCATTCTCCCCATTCCAGCTCTTCATGGTCCTTGGGTCTAGTCTCAAGTTCCCTTTCTCCCTGTCATAATTTCTTGTGCCAGTTCCACACTGGTTTTGGTGTATTTTGAGCAGCACTCGACCCCAGCACTGACAGGCACTTTATCAGTGTAACAAAGCATCTCTGTTCTCATGGGAAACAGAAGCAGTCATCTGTCAGAAAGCAGCCAAGACTTACTGCAGGTTGTCATGCAAAGTCAGAGACCGAGAAGAGAGAAATTGTCAGCTTTACCTTGATAAGCTCGTGAGTGTGAAAGACATGTCACATGCAATTTCCATTACAGAGATCACCAGGATTCCATGAGAAGCAAGAATGAGTGGAAAAATCCAGCATACAGAAAATTACTCAGACCAGAAACCAGGGCAGTTGCAGGTGTGCCTGTTTTCCACAGGAATTAAGAGGACTCAACATTGTTTTGCAAGATCAAGAGAAGATCATCCATTACAAAGTGCATTAAGATAGCAAGGTAACATTTTTAAATTAACCTTCCTATATTTTTTCCCCTCCAGCAAAAAAGATGATAAATCCTCTCACAGTAGGAAAGCAGTTTTAGTATCATCCAAAAATGCTTTAGTGTTTTTCCACTTAGAACCATCTTCCTGTTTCACATAAGAGCAGTGTACTACACTCTCCTCACCTTTCCTTGACACTGGCAACTTCTCCTGCAGTACAAGCATCTCCTCCCTTTGTGCCAGGGGAAGGATATGGACTGGTGGAGTATATCCCTAGCTAGTGAATGAAGCCAGCTTTCAGAGGCAGAGAACCACAGCTGTCCTTACATTGAGAGACCAGAAACAAGTTCTTTAGCAGCAGCTTGAATTCTGTAAGCTGAGTGAGCAGCCCACAGCAAAGGAACTGGAATGCAAGGTGCCATCGTGTGGGAAGATCCATCCAGGGGCTGACTGCAACTGATGGGCAATGAAGAGAACTGGCCACCAGCTGGACACCTGTCATTCCTTTTTCTCTTTTCCTGAAGCACAGCAATTAATAATGATCTACAGTAAATACTTGCACTGCCGTAGCACATGTCACATCCTTGAATTTAGGGTTTATCAGATGAGAAGTCATCTTCCTAAAGTTGGATGTGTAGTGTCAGCTGGGACAGATGCAAGGAGCCATGAAACTCAGACGCTGTTTGTGCTTGGTTTCTGGGCACCAACTTTGTTTTGAAGCTGGTTGCAGTTAAGGAAGGAAAAAAGCTCTTGTTATTCACGTTCACCTTCTCACACAAAAAATCCTCTGCACCTAAAAGCTGGTAACGGCACAGCATATTTGTACAAGTTAAAAATACTAGTTCACTTAGGAAAAATAATGCCCTTTTGAAAACTGCAATTAGTTGAAAAGTGGTGTAATATGCTTATAAAATCTTTCAGACCAATGCTACCCCTGGAAAAAGTGTTTGCTCATCAATACAGTGCTAAGATAGCATCACTGGAAAATTCACCAGCCTAATTTTAAAAACTCAAGTGACATACTGGTTACTTCTGCAAGACAGGTAGAAGAAAAGTCTTCTTGTATCAATCAGTATGAAATACAATTTAATTCAGTGCAGCAGTAATACCTTTTCCTCCTAGAGCTTAAAATATTGGAAATTAAGCTGAGCGTGCAATATGTAGTTTTTTGTACAATATCACCTGGAAAGAGCACAGTTCACATTTTTGTTACATATTACTCCTTTCTGTTCTGCTTTACTGCTTAGAAAAAGGAGGCTCACAAAGCTTCTCATTGGCGATAAAATCCTTACTCCAGTTCAGACTTCTTTTTGGCAACCAGTAGGTGGAGTCAATGCTCCACCAAACCATATCACCAGTATCACTAAAGCAAACTCCACGGAAGGCGCTTGGAACACAAAACCAAAGGTCCTTAACCTTAAAAAAAACAAAAAGCAAAATCAAAACAAACCACTTTTCCCATCGTCTACCTTCTCTAGAGAAGTAACAGCACAAGACACCAATTCAAACAGTCTTCTGCCCTCCGAAAATATGGATCTGTCCATCAGCATCATCTTGCAGTCCAGGGGAATCCAGGTCCCCAAATCTGGAATAGGATCTCTCACAAAGCAACCCAGGTCTGTCTATCACAAACGAGCTAAGGGCCCTGTGCCTCTGCATTGTCCTACCCCATGCATTTCCCCACTGCATTTCCTGGCCTCTCTCACCACACATGTCCCCACAAGAAGCGTTTTGTGACCACCTCCAGAACAAATCTCAGTGCCTGTGGCATGAGCAGAGCTCCTGCTCCAAGGGGTGTTCAGCCAGTCGGAGCAGTCATGAGCACACAGGGCACTCACCTTGGAGGTGGGAGACCAGCAGCAGGGAGCTGGCAGAACAGGGCTGCTCTGCTGAGGAGGACAGACCAGAATGCACAGGTCACCATGCCACAGTATGTGCTTCAGCAGCACAGGGCACTCTGCCAAGCAGCACAAGTGGCAATAATGTGTCCCAGCATCATCCCAGCAACCATCAGACATACAAAGGCAAAGCAACTCCCTGGGCAAACCATGAAATCTGGTTGTGGGGTGAAAGCTGGAGGCAGGAGGAGAGGCTGGTGAGGGTAATTAGTCTATTATCACCTTCACACTGCCAGCTGGCTCCCCTCAGGCTGGTTTCAGTCAAAGATTTACCACTGGTCTGTGAAGCACAGTAGACACTGGTTTCTGAAATTCAAGGCTGCATTTCCTCGGCTAAAACAGTTTATACTTGTAACAAGTATTTCCATTAGGCTTCTGTCTCTCTTACCTCCTGACCTGCTTCTTGTGTTCACTTTTCCTGCAGCCCCAGCAGCCTGTGCACACACACTGGAGAACCCTAGCACGCAGCAAGGTCTGCCTGGTGACAACCATGCTGTCCTGTGTCCTGCCTGAAGGGCTGCAGCCCTGAACCACGGTGGGAAGAGCTCCATCAGGGGATGGGACAGCCCTGCAGGGCTCAAAGATCCCATGTCTCTGTCGAGGTCTATCAGCATCTGCTTGGTAAATAGGCCTTGGCTAAACAAGCTCAGGTCTCTGGCCCCACTGAGCTCCGATGCTGCTGAAAAAATGCAAACCCTTCACCATCTCTTGAGCTGAAAGCAGACCAATTTTGATTGTTGCCTGAGCAAAGGGAGTTTTAACTGTGCCCATACATGTGTGTATTTGCACCATGTTTCACCAGCTGTGCTTCCCCTGCAGTTTCTGCTTCCCTGGGGTGGCAAAGGACACCTCTGTGCTGTGAAGAAAGTCGCTTTGGATTTTCCATCTCCCTCCACATTGAAGGTTATTGTAGCTGGGGCAGGAATATTTTGGAGATGCTTCCTTGCCAGCCATTTCCCTCACAGCAGTTTTATTTATATATGTGTGTGTTCAGACACCCAGCTGTGTGTGCTGGGGGATTATCACATACTCCCAGAGCTGGCACAGCACTCGGCACGCTGTGTCTGGCAGGGCTGCAGCTGCGTCCCTGCCGCTGGAGTGAGAGAGGTCGGGTTTGTCTCTGTAGATAAAACAAGGTGGGAAGCTGCTGGGCCACTGGGCAGGCATTTGTTTATGCAAGTGCCAAGATAAGGTGAGCTCTTCCACCCTTTTCCACAGGTGCCAAATTGTCTCTGTGCCTTTACTGGCCGCTCTGGTCACTCAGCTGCTGCCCACCAGTCTCACCCATTTGCCAGCTCTATTTTTACCACAGCTCTAGGGTTTCAGAGGGGTTGGAAACCAGGCACCGCGGTACCATGGCAATAGGGATGCTTCCAGAGCCCCAGAAAGGAGAGCCAGAGCGAGGGGCAGCGAGTGCCCAGGGAATGCGTGTGAAGCAGCCCACGAGCTCGCAGACCTCGACAGAGAGACGCCTGTGAGCCAAGGCCGGGCAGAGCGAGGGCTGGGCACTGGGGCTGCCAGGACAGCAGGAAGAAAAGGGAGGTTTTGTCAGTGCCACACAGAGCATGGTCTGATCCCACTGACCACAGCAGACAAAGGACAAAAGGCGGCAGATGCCAAGGAGTAGGCTTTAACTGCCTGGGGAGCCTTCCCATTACAGCTGAGTAACACTCCAAAAACACAGGAGACAGTTATAGGGGCTGTTTATCTTTTTATTATAAATTTGGTATGAATGACCAATGGAAAAATCACAATGGAGTACCAAGAACATTTTATCAAAATTTTAGCAGCATTTAAACAGTGACAGATTCCCAACCTCCTCTGGGCACCCCTTGCCCTTTGCTTCCCACCCACAAATCAGTAACCTCCACTCAAATGTGCTTTCCAGAGGCATGCAGGGGATGTGGCTGGCCATTTTTCCCCTGAGCTGCCGTGAACAAAATCTCATCCCAAACGCTGGTTACCATTCAACCTCCATCCACACAGGGCCGGGCTCCCGTCCCCTCCTTGCTGCAGGCAGCACAGCAGGAGGCTGGCTGGCTGTGGCTGGGATGGGACTTGCCAAGGGGGAGGCAGCACCTGCTCACATCCTCCCCTGCGTGGATCAGCACTCCCGTGGGCGCCCAATTCCTCCAAGCACAAATCCGGGGCCAAGCCCTTTCCCGCCCGCTGCTGCCCTTCGCTCCTGTACGCGGGGGTGCCCCAGGGCTGCTGCCCCTGAGAGTGTGTGCTCGTGTCTGGAGGGAGACAGGGAGGGGAGGCTGACGGTCTGTCCTCCCGCAGGAATCGAGAGCAGCCGGGAGCTGAGACTTGAAGGGGAAAGGGAGAAGGTGAGCAGTGAGATACCCAAGTATCAACCCACAAAATGAAGTCAGTTTGCTATCAGCTAATGTGGAGAGCCATGGGCTGCCGACTAAGTCACGAGAACTAATTTTTTGTGTGCGCTTTTTGTTTTAAAGTTACATTAAGACATGAACAGTACTATCCCAGCCTCACTGGCTGGAGCTTGGTGAAAACAACGCTGAATCAGAGGTGGGGAAACACAACACACGTGGAGACAACAACATAGTATCGGCAAGCTATTCCCCTGCTTCTTTGGTACTTCCTAAACTTTCTTATCCAAAATATATAAAGGAAATGCACCATTTAAAGGTTATTGTTCATAAGTATTTACACAGCCATAACCATCACGCTATGATACACGAAAATCAATATGATATGAACAAAGTTATTTTATGAAAAGCACTTCTGCACATTTTATTTTGTTCCAGTATCTTAATAGCTTTAAAAAATTCATGTATTATGCAGTCCTGTACCTCGCTTCTTCTTATATCAAATGGACAAGAAACATTTCCTAATCCATACTCTTCTTCAAAAGATTAAAAAATAGCCACCAAAATGATACACTATGTACAAATTTTACTAAATATTAAGTTCTAGGCAATTATTTTCACCCCACTGATGATATAACTTAGGTATTGTTACCTACTATATGCATATATATTTCTTTAATATATAAGAAATGGCACCACATCACCATGTCACCAATATGACACATTGTTATGTACAGTAGATAAGAAGTTAGGTATGGAAGATGGATCCTCTCTGACTGCTTCTTTCACGGGAACACTTCTCCCATCGGTAGTAGCTTGGCCATTTCCCCTTTTCCCAGCAGAGGAAGCTCCTCAGATGTAAGGCAGGATCCCGTACATCAGCAGTGCCATCACGCCGGCGCTGAACAAGCCGGCCACCGGCACAGTCACAAACCACGCCAGGAAGATGTTGCGGAAGAGGCGCCAGTCGACGGCTTTCTTGGAGCGGATCCAGCCGACGGCCACCACGGAGCCAACCTTGGGAGCGTGGGGAAGAGAGAGGGAGACAAGGTGTGAGGGGTAGGTCTGAGCATATGTAACATGCCCACGGCCACACCAATGCCAGTCAGCTGATACCAAGCGTTGCTCTGAGATAAAGAAGGCCCTGAGGATGACAATGGCACTGTTCTGGTGTGGTGGCAGGAGGGTGACACTTCCAGGGTACTTAAACCTTTGTTTTTCAATGTTCTCCAATTTTTCATGGGTCTTGGGGTCAGCCAAAGGCAATAAAGTATGTTGGTGAGTTTTTTCTCTGCCCTGCTAACTCCTACATGAGCCTTCAGTGCAACTGAGGCAGCCCTCCACCTGACTCAGTCCTCAGGGGAGAGAGAAAGTGTCCACTGACTCTGGCCTGATTGCAGTTTAAATTAGGAAAACACCAGGAAAGTTTTTTTCAAGGCTTTGGTGGAGAGCATTGCATGGGGCAGGCCAGGATAGCTACTATGGTTCCTGTCCCACCTGCCTGTCCTCTTGCTGTTTTGGGGTGCCCTGCCCGTTCACCCAGCAGCTGCTGAGCCTCTCTGTGCAGTTCCCAGCCCGGCACACAGCGCTGACCCAAAACACCACATCCATGTGCCAATACTGCAGGCTACAAACAGGATGGCAATGTCAAGGTAAAAGCAGCTGAGCCCACCCTGTGGCAGTGATGGTGGCTTGGCAGGGGGCAGACAGACAGTGCAGGCTTAGAGCCAGTACAACAAACCCATCAATCTGAGTTCTGTGAGGGACACCAGACCTACTGGACCAGCTAGCCAAGCAAAGCATCCAGAGCTAAAATCCTGTCTTGCAGACAAAGACACCAGACTAATACTACGGGGCACACAAACTGTTCAGACACCAAGAGGATGGTGGGGAATGGATAAGACACCAAGATATCCTTCAAAGACACTGCTACCAGAGCAGCTGGGTAGGTCAGTGGTTTTGTAGATAAAACACACTGTTTTATGGGCAAAGCTGCAACCTTTTCTTCCTTCAAAGGTATTTTCAGTTCATAAGCTCGGGTATAGACCCAGCATATCAATTTTTAAGAAAAAAAACTGGACTGAGAAAAATATTTTCAATGAAAAATGATACAAAAACTTCAGAAAGATTACATTTTCTTTCTGCCCTGGAAGTGCTTTCCATGCTGTTAGCAAAAACAGTGTAAGTCTATTCAAAGTGCATGGTAAAGCAGCAAGAAATGTGGAAGATATATCCTGTTTTGAAGGTAAGGAAACTCCAAGACACAGCTGGGCATGTGCTCCCTGAAGTGCCATCCCTGCCTCCCTGCTTGTTTTCTTAATGGGAGTATCAGTCCCTGCCTATAGATCAAAAGATGGGCTGTTCCCCTTGTACAGAGCCAGGAAAATGATACATGCCAGGAGTACAGGGAATCAGGGAAAGATAGTATGGGGATATCAAACCTGCATATTTTGCTAGCACCTGTTTAGCTTCTAACTACTGCTTGACATTTATTTTTGAAGAAGAGTTACTTGTGGAAGACCCTGTAACTCTAGGGTGCCTGTGGCAGAATAAGGGAAAACTAAACTTGAGATATTCTGTGACCAATTAGGCCTCTGTCAAAAGCTTGACCCAATAAGGAAATCTGTTGGATAATATTTCATCTGAATACTCCAGGAGTACACAATGTGCTGTTCTGTAATTAGGAGGAATAAGTGTATTTAGGAGGTGGAGGTGTATCCAGGTGAAGAAGTCACACTTGTGACTACATCAAAGCATTAACCCGAGGAAATAGCATTTGGGTTTTCAGCAGCTCAGCTGTTAGGCTCAGCTTTACATTTTGTGTGTCCTTAGTATCCATCTGTCACGCCGTGTTACTTATTGAGCAAGCCTGCAGTCTATGCACGCTAATCTCCGAGTCCTTCCTGAAATTTAAATGGTATCAGCAATGATGGCATTGGCAATCTGTTTTAAATATTATTAAAGTTTAGTTTATTAATAGTGATTTTTGATGGACTAGAGGTTAGGAGAGTAGCTAATCCTTGGGTGTAGGCACACTACACCTTCTGTAGAATTTCAGATGATATCTACTTTGAGATTGGTTTGAAACCAGTGCAGTTTGCCTTCAGTATGCTCTGCTCAAAGCATTACAGAAATGCTTTTGGCTCTCTTGTTCCTGTGCAATGGTGTATAATAAGAACACACAGAACACGATAATTCAATGATAGCAACGGAGAATATTTTTCAAAACCGCAAAATCATATTGCCAAAATGGAGCTGACAGAATGACCTCAGCAAAGTCACTTCTGCAAAGGAAAACAATTTAACTGCTGCACTCTTAATTTTATCTGTACGTGAACACACTCTGTTACAGCTGAGAAATGCTTATTTCTAAATCTCCAATCTGAGAACAAATAACAGGCACTCTAAGACTCAATATGATCATTTTCCCACCTGGGCAGCAGAAAGGGAAGTTATGCATTCACACCACACTGGCTTTTCAGTGCTAAATCCCAGGGGAGGTAGAACTGGTGCAGTCAGAGCAATGCGGCTACTGCCACATTCAGACCCACAGATTCCTTTGGAGGCTCAAAAGATTAGGCCTTTCCTCCAAGCCCTCTTGACTTGGAGGCTTTCAAGGGTCTTTCCTCTCCCCTTGGACCTGAGGCAAAGACAAAGGTGCGGTTCAGGCTCTCAGCAGGCACTGAGAGTGAAAAAGCTGCTTGGCCATAGACGTGGGACAGGCACCTCATGTAGACCAAAGGCTCTGATTTAGGACCAAAGGCAGGTCCTGACCTGAGAGGCCTTGACAAACCTTCCCCAGAAGCCAAATGCTTTTATTCCTGCTACCAACCTCCAGTTTGCCGCCACATTCGCTACAAGATCTGAAAACTGCTGCTCAGAGCTTTCCTTCATTCTCGGTCTCCATTTTTCATTACAGTCTACTGTTCCACCTCAGCTGTTTCATGCTGCTCCTTATTTGCCATCAGTTTATCCAGCTGCTGTGCATTCAGTTGACTGACACCCACTCAAGCAAATGCTATTTTGCAGTGGAGCAAATATTGAGAAAAAGAGTAATTCCCAATCCCTGGGAGCTGGAGGCTCAAGATTAGGCTCACCTCAAGCCTGTTTTCTTTTGGATTTCTAAGGCAAAATAGTTTTTTCTGCTGATTTTTAAGAAGGCATTTTTGACTCAGTGGCTGACAGCACTTTCAGCGAGGCATTTTCACACGGAGCAAATGATATTTAACAATTTTTTTTATTCTTGCCCTGGATCCTCGAAGAAAACAAGGAATACAGGAATACATCCATTGCAAGTGTTTGCTTTATCTTGTGTTGCTCACTTAGGATCCTTCAACTCAGGATCTCATTTTTCTGAAACACAGTCAGTTATGATAACATGACATCCCTGGAACAGTCTAATCCTATTGCAAAGTGGATCTTCCCATTAAGAATGATCCATCTAATGAGATACAGCAAGCTACAGGGAGCAGACACAGACTAACCACATTAGCTGCTTTTATGGAAGTATTTTTTAAAAAGAACTATTTTGCTCTGCAGTTAGAAAAGACGAAGCTTTTAGCTGCATTGAGTGAATGAATACCCCTGTCATTAGCTTATGGCTTCCAAGATACTTTCTTTTTAAATTCAGTCAATTTGTTTGGACCAAAGTATGTTTTCTCTTTTACAGCAGTTGGCTAGAAGTGTTTCAGGCACGCAACTGGGATAATCAAAGCTGTATTATTCTCCCTGGCAAATTCTTCATTGTGCATTTGATATACCAGTCAGCTTAAAGGGAGGTGGTTTTAGGCTAGCATTTTTAGAAGTGGATAACATTGTTATTATTTTTCCCCTCCCTGCTTGATTCAGAGGAACCAGAGTTCTGTCAATGCCAGGAAATCTGAACAGCCTTTCAGAGCAGCTCAGTCTTGGCTGCTTCTCAAAGAGCACCAGGGTAGAAGAAATAAATGATTTTGCAATAGAGGAAGGCTTTCTGAAGAAATGGTTTTCACTAGAAAAAGGCCAATTGAACCAACTTTGGGCATTTTGCAGGATGTGTGGATTTCATTGACTCTTTTACTGGAAAGCAGGTCAATGTCACAGCCAAGGCTGCCAGGCTTCCTGCCAGCCCGCCTGCCATGCCATGGAGCAGTTATCCCCGGAACCCCGCCTGCCCCAGCCCCAGCCAGGGGCTCCTAGCTCTCCAAGGGCAGTAGTGAATCCTACAAGGACTGTCTTTTTTTAGGGCTTGGTCTTGGTGGCATGCAGTGATGCAGATGGACTGCCATTCTGAGGTCTCTGATTTTGGAGGGGCTTCCCCACATCCTGCCAGCGGGTGAAAGAAACAAACAGCTCTGCACAACCAGGAGCTTCAGAAAGAGGAAAGGAGAAAAGACAGGATATCTGACCTGAGAATTTCCCAGGGAACAAAACTCCAAATTCCCATTATGTTCTTCCAGTTCTAGTGTGAATGTCCACATGCTCTCTCATGTCTACAAGCTATATAAATGTCTTTGTGACACAATTAAATTGTGCTCATTGCCTAGCCTGTACACATACTACCAAGTAGTCTTTTTGAAAAAAAAAACAAAAAAAAAAAAATAAAAAAGCAAAGTACCTTGTTCAAAGGACTAATTACAAGGGCCAGATTCTGTATTAAAATGCACAAAAGTGAGGACAAATTGGTTTAAAAGAAGAGAGACATTAAAATATTAGCTTAATGATGTAGCAGTGTTTTTCATACAGGAGGTTTTAAAATACACATAACTGGGTTCACACAGACTACGGATCTACGTTGTTTTAATATGTCTATATTAGTTCAGTACAACCATGTAGGGGTGAAAGACAGTCCAGACTTTTGTGCAATTAGTTATAATGCTGACTTTGCTTGGCTGTACTGCCTGTCAAAGTGGGCCCCGCTATTTTGCGGTCACAGTCTGCAGGGCATGGCACAGTGAAGGCAATCTGCAACAGTCGGTATCTCCCAGATTTTGTTATGGTTTGTCCTAGTGATGTGATTTACTGATAGTATCACTGCAAACTCCAATACCTTGCAATGGGTGGAGCTTATTGGAATACCCACATTTGAGGCTACAAGTACCGTTAGCGCACACATTACTTCAATGCAAAATCCACTGTGAAGAAATAAAAAAAAAAAAAAAAAGACAGATGGAAAACCTGTAGTAAAAGAGTTATATGCAGGAAATCCCATGCCATGCACTTATCAAGAAAGTCAAGTATAAATGATGAATGGTGCGCAGCCTCTGAACAAGGGAGAAATGTTACCCGACCAGGTTCAAATGGCACCGTCAGAGGAAACCAGGCTCTTCCTTGCAATCATTTGCAATAAAATTGAAGTCATGCTTTTGTAAGCGCTATTTTTCTTCACCAGCAGCTATGGAGTTTATGCTGTGGCCAATTCCAGTGACTTCACTGTGACAACTCCAACACATTTTTTGGAAGCCTGATTACATTCCCACGTTGCTGGCATGACCGAGATGTGCTGATGCACCCCTACCTAACCATCCTCTGTCAGCGGCTGCTTTCCCCTCACCGTGCCATTATCCCTGGCTCGAGCAGCACAATTTTAAGATGAATAGTCCAGACTGCCTTGACTGCAGTCGCTGGGCAAAGGCATACCTTGCAGTGTGTAGTACTGACAGGAAGTCCAACATTGGAAGCTACCACAACTGTGAACGCCGAAGCCAACTCAATAGTGAATCCACTGCGGGAAGCATAAGAAAACACTTCACAATCACTCTTTGCATCAGCTCGGACTGATACCATGCAGCGTGCCAAAGTCTTACCCGTTTCTTCTTTCCATTGTTTTATCTCCAACTGATTTTTGTCATGTGAGTAAGTTAAGAGAACAAGAAAGGGCTGAATAATGGGAACGGCACAGGCTAGTCATCTGCAGTAGCCCATCTGCACGGCTCATTGCGTCAGAGACCTTCACTACTCTACGCTGCAGTGAATCGTGCCTAATTAGTAATTCGGTTAAGCACCAGCAGAGGTCGAGTATGCATTAAAGAAGAAAATTATATATGTATATATATAAAGAAGAAAATTATATATGTAATAAATACATATGGGTTTAATAGTCTGAAGCGCACTGGGAAAGCCACTGTAATCTTGCCATTTCCAAATGCACCTCCTACCAAGCTAATTAGGTCATCAGCAGAAGACTCTGCTGTCTGTTCGTGTAGACCTCTACGCCTTAAACACATTCAGTACTACAGGGTTATCTTTTTTCCTTTCTCTCTTTCTTTCTCTTTTTTTACCTCATGCTTTCTTTTCCTCCTTTTTCACTTACTTCTTTCATTTTTTTAGAAAGACAGAGAAGTCAAAGCCAGGTTATCATTAAAATCAAAGCACAGCAAATCCAGCAAACCGCATTACAAACAAAATACCGGAGCAGCAATTTCTCAGATCGTCTCACACACAAAGTTCACACAACCACAATGACAACTGTGGACCTACCTTGATGGTGTGATTGGAGTGAGGTCTTTACCCATAGTCTGGATAACTCTTCTTCCCCAGACCCAGAGACCCACACAGATCCCAACACCTCCATAGAACAGCAGCCAGATGGGAGTCGATGCTTCCTGCATTACGGCACCTTGCTCGTAGATAAGCCAGAGCGCAACGAGGGGACCGATGGCATTGCTGGAGAAACAGAAACATGTCATCTGATAATAATAAAATTGTGTGCTCTTTTATACTGTAATAATACAGTATAAAAATGCAGAGAGTTGCCTTGAAAGAAGTCTCTTATTTTCTGCACAATTCTTCTTCATCATGGGCGCAGCACTATTCTGACTTGACCCTACAGGCAACACCCTTTCTCACTTGGAAAGGGTGCAGCAGGCAACTCTCATCATGTTGCTTTTTCAGCTGTCATTTCTTCACTGATAACTAGAGCAAGGTTCTCTTTTACAAATTGTTTCCTGAAATGTCAGAGTCAGTAGTACCTCATTATGTCTGTTCTGTGAGAAAAATCAGTTCTTTCAGTACCACACTGAAACTATTTCATTTCAGTACCACACTGAAACTATCTCAAATTTACCAATTCAAGACCTGTGCATCTTTAAAATTCAAGTATCAAATTAGCTCTTTTTGCCAAAGAGGGGAAAATAATGAACAAAATTACCATTGCAGACAAGAATATAGAAATATAATTCAGCTTGACAGCCTGTAACGTTTGGGAAATGATCTGAGTGCAGCTGGGAAGGTGACTTAGTCATCTTCAAAGGTGTTGTAGAGTGAGTTGGACTGGATCAGAAAGGAGCCTTTGGTGACACAGAGCTGGTGTAAGCCCTTTTTGCTACCCTGCTGCTGCTATCTGGAAAAACACTGGAAGTCAGCAACACTGAAGTCCCCACTCTTAATGCAGGTCATCCGATATTGGTGGCTGGAGTCAGACTTCTGATTCTGTTTATTCTAAAAAAGCATCACATTTCTAGACAGAAACTTCTAACTAGAAGAAAAACTCGAAAGCTGGTATCCAGTTACTTTGGAGGCTCAAATACTGAAAAGCAGATAAGAATTTCGACATCCTTTTTATTTTCAGCTCCTTTACTAAACCAAGTAGCTGCTTGCCTAGCTGAGCAGCATTTATTCACCACCCAAAAAGCATAATTAGTGAAGCAGTGTTTATATTTATGTCTAAAAAATCATGAGAAGAGCAGAACAAACCTGACCAATGTCATTCCAAAAATCTGAAAGCCATCAGGAAAGCCCCCGCTCTTTGTAAACCAATAGGAAAGCAGGTCACAGCAAGCACTGCAGGCGGGACTGACAGCCATGCTCACCCTGGAGCCAGTACCTGCTAATTTTAGTTCCTGGTTCCACTCCAAAGCAGACAGATGGAGTAAGGGCCAGTTTTAATGTCAAATGTTGTGCAAACCAGGCCACTGTATATGCCAGTTAATAATTTCCTTGAATCCCATTTTTACCAGATATGAGGTACCAGGGGCTGAGTGGCAATTGCCAAGAGACAAGGGTGACCAGCAGTGCAAAGCTCAGCACATCTCAGCAACACAAGACCCTCCTGCTTTCATCTGGCCCTTGAGAAATTGAGCTCTGAACCCCAAGAAGTGATCCTGAAGCAAAGCAATATGGAAAAACTTTTCCCTCGTAAACACACACAGCGACACTCAAGCGATGAGGGAAATGAAAATAGTTAAAAATGCTCTTTGATATAAAAGAATTAATCATTCTTACGTGTTTTGACAAAGATCCTGAAAACAGATTAGTGAGCTAACATGGATAATAAAATCCAGTGAGCTTGAAGATACTGGGCAGTACAATGAAGAACTAAAGACTTTATTTAAAGAGTGATTTCCACTTGCTAGAACACTTTAAAATTCTGGTCTGATACCGTGCCCAAGTAAGCATTCAATTTGTTGAGTTTTGGAAGGACAGTATGTGAAAAGTCCTTAGGGCCTAAATGCAAGAATTATTTTACCTCCATGGAAGAAGAGATTCTTGATTGAAGCATTTCTAATATTTTGAAATCAACCTGAAACTGCTTTTGCAGTATTTTCAGGTATAGATTAAATTACCTGCACATTTTAATGCCTTTTTGGGCACAGAAAAAGAAAGTTAATTCAATTTACGAAGGTACATGAATAAACGGATGGATGGTGAAGGATGGATAAAGGCAAATAATACATTGATCAAATGAATAAAGGCAAAACTGATCATCCCTTTTTATAGTGCTGTATGACATGGAAAAAATTTCCCTGTTGAAAATAACAGGCACATTTGGAGTGAGCTCAGGCACTGATTCCTGACAGTTCTAAAGAGATTTTGCATACATATTTGTCAGTTCCAACGTAGACTGAAGAGGCAGAAAAGACTTCAAAAACTGCAGCAGCAAACTATGCTCTTCCATCAAAATCCAGTTTTAATTATTTGCAAATGCTACACCTCTGTGAATCAACTAAGCCTAATCCTTGAGGAAAAGGTTCTTATTTGTGGCGAGGGAAGACAAGGCAAAACTCTGCTGACGTATGCTCAGCCTCAAGAATCCAATCGGCTGATTCTGTCCAACAGATCAGAAGAGATAACACTGCTGCCCACAGAGGCAGCATTTCTGATACCTTCTCTGTAAGAAAAGAAAGCTGAAGAACACTGGATCCATATGGGCTTGGAAAGGCAAAAATGTAACTAACCTCATTTTCCTTTGTGAGTATCTACCTCACTGGTTATCTACACCAGAGGGACATTTCTCCTCTCCTGGTAAATTACGTTCAGTGTGAGTTCAGCTCTTGGGGACAGTGGCATCTCCCACCCTGAGGATCTGTAAGGGGCTACAAACAGCAACAAGAATGGCTTGAATCCAGAACCATCACAGCTCTCCAAAGGGGCTTCTTCAGCTTCTAGATTTGTTTAGGAGGTGCAGTCCAAGGGGCTTGTGATATCAATGCTCTCTATGCCAAAGGAAAACAGCTCTAGAAGAAGCTGCTAGTCCTGTCGCACCATGAAACTGCCAAAAGCTCACAGCAAATGGGTCTGACTCAGGCACTACAAAGACTATGATCTTGGTTCTGCACAGAGGTAGAAGAAAACCACTCCCAACAGCTCAGTAAGAGAGGTTAAAAGAGAAACAACACATAAAAAAACCACCAAAAAACAAAAAAAAACAGCAACAAAAAAGGCATTGTTAGATAGGAGTTTGCTTAACAGATGTCTCCTACAGCTGAGTGACTAACCAGATGAACCACAAGGATGCTGGCTAGACTGGGATGTGGCTTGCACAGTATTTCCCACTGGTTCTAGCTCATTTGATTCAAGACATGACTAGCAGGAAAGTAGTCCTCAAATCTTCCAGGCATTTGGCTAAGACTCATTTCACAAGTCTATTTTCAAGAAGTTATTTTCTCTTACTCTCCCACACAGTTTTCTACTTACCTTAACTAACTCTCCTTTGTGCTGGAGCTCCACATCTTATCCATGCTAGTTTAGAGAAGAAAAAAGCCTGAGATGGTCATACAGGGGCTCTGAACCCCCATCCACGTCTATCTATATGTAAAACTGCCCTCAGGTCCCCATGAAACTGAAGTGCTTTAGGGGATTTGCACTATTATCTAGCTATTAGGTTTAGAACAGAAAATAAGGGGTTCCTGACATGGTATTACTTTAATTTTGCACACCTAACACACACTTTCCCACTGAGCACAAGGAGGTGCCAATATTAATTTTAATTAATTTTAGTGTGAGTTTATAAAATGCTGCGGTGTAAGAAGCCCATTTCCTGAGCCTGCCTGCTGCAAAGTGTATTCTCCACATCCAGTACTTTCCCCACCTCTGCCAGGCCGATTACTCGCAGGGCACAGGGCTGTGCAGCTGGGGCACTGCACAGGGGCTCTTTGCCTTCCCTGGAGGTGCAGTGCAGGATTTAATGCCACCCACAGCCACACTTGCACTGGCAGATGTGCTCCATGGTGGCTCACTGAAGGGCTGCTCCCTGTTCCTGAAGTGCTGCCTGACCCTCGTGATGATTTTGCCGGCACTCTCGACTAACGTGAATTGGCACAAACTTCTCTTTTTCTGCTCGCTTGTGCCAGTTTAGAATCTATCACACAGCATTTATAAAACTGCTGTGAAAGATAGCATTTGACAGTGAATCTGAACTATAAATAGAGCTGGCTTCTCCTCTCCCCTGTGAGACAGATAGTATTACCAACAAAAATAACCACCCCACATTCAGCTATCATGAGACAGGCTTAGAAATGACAGTTTCCCATGCACACACACACTAGCAGAAATTTTTAGGTACCTTCAGGTCACAAGTCCAAGACCTCTGGAGGAATAAGGACTAACACTTTTTTTTTTTTTTTTTTTTTTTTAGTAAAAAAATAAGGGGCTTTTTCCCAGTAATTCAGCCATCAGCTGCATCAAACTTGTCATAAATATGTTATGAAGTAGCAACTTTTGCTACTTCTTTGCTGTTGTTTGAGGGGAGTAGTGAGTTGCTCAAAAAGAAAACCTAACTGTATTTTGAAAACTACACTCTGAATGTGCTTTGTGAATAATGTATAGACTTCCTGATGACCATGCTTAGGTTCTCTGCTGCCTGAAAAAGGAGATTGCTTTTTAGCCTCTTTTTCTAGTTGAGTGAAAGAACCTTGAAACATACATTATCACCAATTAAAGTTGAATGACAAGCAAAACAGCCATCTGAGAAATCTGTATTAGGTGTCCAATATTACAAGTATAATTAGGAAACATCCAGCCATTTGACTATTTCCCAAACCAGGATTTCACAAACAAACCTTCCACTGGAAAAATCAGTGAGATGGTATTTCTGAATAGGCTGCAGTTATGCCATGAGACATCACCCGGCTGAGCAAGAGTGAAAGAAAGATACGCCTGTATGTAGCAACAGGAAAAAAACATGCCCTAATCTCCAGGGATATCAGACTATCAGCAGAGTTTTATCCTAGTTCAAATAACTGGACAGCCTTGAAACAGTGCATCTACCACAGCACAACAGAAGTGTGTCAGAGCTGTGCCCTGTGAAGTGCAAGCTTTGTGAGTGTTCATGAGCCAGCGTGGATGGGCTCATCTCTGTGTCCTGCAGATGCTGGCCCTGAAACCCCACCTGCCTGGATCCTGGATCCTTGGGTCCATCCTCCCCGGTGCCCACCAGCATCAGCTTT